TAGTCAGACAGAAAAGGCAATAATAAAGTTAGCAAACGCAAGTTGAAGAAATATTTATTTGGGAATAAAATGAAAGAAAACGTCACGCTCGATTGCACCAATTTTGCTACTCGAGGACTATTACTAATAGTCCTCTAGTAGTGTAGCGAATCAAAATGCAGGATTTGCATTAGTCCACTAGTTGGGTGATACTAACAACAATTATTATATGGCTAGTTCCGTGAGCGGGCAAGATGAATCAAATCCTGCACTGTGATTGGCTACCCGAGCAAGCAAGATGGAGCTTTCTTGCCCGCTTGGGACTGCCCACCATGTCCCACAAGAAAAATTTCCCTGCAAGCCACATAATAAATCCTTTACTGACCAAGCTTGTCTTTTTTTGCTTGTTTATGGACCTTGACTCTGTCTCGGTCCATAAACATGCAAAAAAAAGAACTTGGCCAATATCCAGCCATCTTGTCCTCACACTTGGTCAATAACCCATATTATTATACATTGAACTCACTATCTCCTTTCTGATTGGTCAAAAGCGTACAGTGAATTTTCGAAATCAGCACCTGTAACGTCATCTCTGCAGATTATACAATAATCATGTCAAGGACACTCAAGGTCACGGGTAATCATGTCAAGTTCACGTGCTTTGTGTTGCTTGCCGTCAGTGAAGAAGCAAAAACATGACTTCCATTTTTTTCGTTCAATGTATAAGAAAACAATTATTAGATTTGGTTTTTGTTATATCTAGAATAATCAAGGTCTCGGTAAGGGTTATCAGCCTCAACTTTCAGCTTCAGCTGATAACCCCCACCTCGACCTTGATTAATCTGGATATCACAAAAACCCCATCCAATAATTGGTTATTAATTGTAATCTGAGATTACATGTAGTAGTACAAAACTTCACATTCCATAATACTGACCAATCATAATTTCACACTCTAATTACATTAGATCTTTTTATATGTTTTATACTCTGATAAAACATGGGTTTTTGACCAATCAGAGTACGTGCAGGGTCCTAATCTATATTATAACATGTAATTATTACTAACATTTACATGTAGCAGTTTAATGAGCCATGGTGCATGGACTTTTATCTTGTGTGCCAAGTTATTGTAATTTATTGACATCTCCAAACAGGTTCTGGTAAGTCTTGTAGAGATCGAGTTTCCTGACCTTTCCAATGCAACCATAAAATCCCAATAACCAGACAGACTATGGACTCCACATAGTATCCATCAATCCACGTCTGGCAAATGCCTCCAGTGTTTGTACAATCCTGCAAGTAATAAACAAGCTAACAACCCACTGTTGGTGCAAGTGTGAACTGGCTTAACAGTACTGGTGTAACAAATACTTACAAAGCACAAAGCAATGATAATTTCATGTTTTATTTTATGTTAAATAATTTTGAATTTGTTTTTTAAAAATGTAGGTAGTACCTTTCTCAACCTATCTCATTAGACATTCAAGAATGCAGTATCATGTTATATTACTTGCTTTGTAGTATTTTGGCCAGTCCTTAAGACAAGTCATTTACTAATGACCATTAAAAATTGACAATGGTACAACACACTGAAATGTCCAATAAGAGATTTATTATCCGAAATGCATATCTTTCCAAAAATTAAATTATTTATACTGGATTTCCCTTTTAGTGCACTCAGGAAGACTAATCAATTAAATGGTTGATTAATGGTCAAATAATTAATAATTACTTGCTTCCTTTGTAGGGTAATTCCCTGCACGTGTACCTTAGCACTTGTCTTGCTGCTGCAATGCAGTCCTGGCATGGTTGCACCTAAGCAGTTTGTCCAGGTGAGTCCATCAACAAGCCACAAGGCTAATGTCTGACACCAGTTGTCTCCAAGGTTGCTCAGTGTGTTCAGAAGGGTTAGGTAAGTCCCTCCAACACGTGGGTCACTAATGCGAGCGTTGAAAGCCATAATGGCTAGAGAGGTACAATACAATGTCACCTATTGGTGGCAAAATGAGGAAAAGAAAATATGGTAATTTTTTCTTTCTTTTCTTAACATTGAAGAGGTTAAACTCGTAAAAAGGCATAGATAAAAGCCTGGAGATGTATGAATATTATTACAATAACATTATTGAGTATAATGCTGCAGAATTTGCACTGCTTTCCTATTCTAAAATATCGCAAGTCAATTTCCTGCCTTTTGGCTATCCAGTCCCTAACCCAGACATAACAGATCTGCTTCTTTTCACTAATATTACCCTGTTTACACTAAAGCATGGCACAGCTGTAGTATATCCTCTTTGGTTATACTTCCCCTAACCACTGTCTTCTCAGCAGCAAAATGATTACCATAGGCCTGCAATGCATGCAAAGTTTTTCACGTATAAAAAAGTGTGTTTGAACCTCTTTGGTCAAAGTTGTTCTCTCTCCATGCAATTACAGGCAAACAATTCTAGAAATCAATGTTTTACAGGACTGTACAATTTTTGAAAATTTTCATCCAAAATCTGTCTTCTTAATGTTGCACATATTTAGTAACACAATTTGTACTTTGGGTCCAGTATGACACATTTGAACGGTCTTGGAAGAGTATAGGAAGGAAAATCTTAATTACCGTACCTGATAAACAGCTGACACCAATAAGAATATGACATAAAAGTATATCGGAAAAAACTCCTCTCCAGGTCCACTCACAAAATTGGCCCACCATACAAATATCATTATTATAACACCCATAAGCAGTCTGTACGGTATGAGCTTGAGTAACACATCTAAGGGACGAGGACCTATGTAAATGTAAAATATTAAAATAATAGTACCACTTTATAGATCAATTTTTTTTGTTTATTTTGTCCTTTGTCTTTTTGTGTGCAGTGTGCAAAATAGAGATTTAAGTACCTGCTGTGTATCTGCTGATGTAAAGGGGCAGTACAATCTGAATTGGAACCATAGGGATGGCAAGAAGAGCAAGATTTTCTTTAGGAACTCCTGCTTCAATCAGCTTTAGGTTAGTTACCGAGTCAGCAGCTGAAAAGCCAGCCTGAAAAAACAAACAAACAGGTATGGTTTCATGTTGGTAGATGTTGGGGGGAGGGAAAGGGGAACAGCAAGGTCTAATTTTCCAACTCCCATACCTTTGACCCCTGGCTCCCACCCCATCCTAAGCCTTGTTATGCCACTCTGTGCTTTTCTCTCTTAAACTACATGTATGTGCAATGTTCCTAAATTTTATATCTTTGTTCCCAATCCCTTAGAAATCTCTTTTCATGTCCTTTCTTTTCCAAGGTCGTACATGATTACCAAGCCCATCCCCTCCCCCCCCCCCCCCCCCCCCCCCCCCCCCCCCC